GGACTGAGTGAAGTCCAATTCGGTCTGTAATCATACGAGTGATTAACAAAATCGGACGACCGCGAAGCGGGAGTCCGATTTGTTAATCACTAGTATGATTACAGACTGAATTGGACGACACGATGTCCTGTTACCAATTAATCAAAACTATGACAAAATTCGAGAAGCGAACAAATCATCGGTTGATCGCTGAACAATTAAACGTCGTTATGAATGCTGAAAAACACAGCAGTTTACCCAACAAAGTGCACCGCAACAGCGCACGCAAAATGACGCGTACTGTCCAATTACAAGCATGACGCGTACACTGTCCAATTAATGCTCAAATCGGGCTGCTGATAGCCAATCACGTTCGAGAATTTTGTTATAGTTTTGATTAATTAGTAATTGGACTTCGTGTCGTACAACTCAGGAAGTAATCGTAACACCCAAGAAAAAAATGAATGAAAAATGTAGAAAAATGTAGAAAACACGAGCCGCAGGCTCGTGTTTTCTACATTTCCCTCGTGTTCTCAAATGGTCGTCGTGTTTTATCATAGCGTAATACACGGCTTAGGCTTCTTTTTTTGTTAAATAATTAACTGAGCATTGCAAAATCATGAAAATTATAGGGAACGTTAATATCTTCTCGGTTGAAAAAAATGAAATTTATCTCGTCGACAAATACATATCAGTCCTGTACTGAGGGATGTAGAAATTTGGAATTTTTAAATTCTAAGAAATAGAACGAGGAATTGCGATATTATGGAATTGGAAATGGTTAATCGAAAACGTTGCACAAAAACGTAATTTAGTAATTTACATAAAATTCCAAAACTTTCAAGTCCACTGCTCTTGATTCTATACTTAAGCCTACCCGCAAACACATCAAAAGCAAACGCCTACTCACATGCTTTCTGTTTTTGACTAGTTTTTACCATATTTGAATTCTAAGACTACCTACCGTTTAGCTCGCTATCCCCATCCGAGCCAAGTGAGAAGGGCAAATCCAGCTCCAGTTGTTGCTAAGTTGATATGGCATAATTTTCCGCTTTGCCATTAATCTATGCCAGCCAGTTTGGTTTCAGGTCAAACGAGCCCAAACCAAATTTCTTGCCCTGGTCATTCAGGACAAGAAAGTCATTCAAAATACTTTTGAAAGAAGCAACATATCTGTGATCTTCACTAAATTTAAACCCTTCTTTGTATCTTTCTATGGGCTTCTCCCCTACAGTGCGATAGATACTAACAGCTGCTTTCACTGTAGCTATAGCTAGCAATGGATAGCAAAGGCCCCAATCATAAGGAGAAACTGAACCACGGTGTCGGGAAATAGCGAGAGCTGTCAAAACGTCAAGCCGACTGTCACAGTGTGTAATACGATCCAATCTGCCATTTCCGGCGTTTTAAAATGAAGGAATTAGCTTAATTAGTTAAACAATATACGCAAATGGAGTTCTTTACAAGACAATCTGAGACCTTTAATTTGGCTAAAATATATCTATATATTTTTTTACGGTTAACGGTTTTCAATTTGTTTTACAACTAACGGTTAAATTTTAAGCATTTTTACGCCTAAAGGTTAATTTTTTGGTCTTTTTACGGCTAACGGTTAAACACCATTGAGACCCTCTTAAAGATGAGAGTACTCCGCCAACCCGAGAAAATTACCGGCGCGCCTGTATTAACTAGCGCTGCAGTCCAAATTAATTAATTTTTCCTCCTCCCAGCCAGTAAAAATGAAGTAATTTTCTCAATCATATGATCAAGTTATTTATTCCAATGCAACACACGAAAGTTTAAAGAAATAATTCAAAAGTAGTGAACAAGTTTAGCAGCAGACAGACAGTCAAAGGCCTGTCTGGCTAGGCCGACACTTGCTGTAAATTCTAATTTGACGTTGTGTAAGTGCCTGTTATAAATATGACGCTAAATAGTTGATTACATCTAAGTTGCGTCAATTCTACGGGTCTATGCTATTCTCTCCTCGGCTATAGCCGTGGGAGTGCTAGTGATGGTTCTCCGCAGGGAGAACATTAACCCTTGGAGGTACAAAGAAGAGGGGTGGATAAAGCCCCCCACCCTGATAACTTAAATTTTCAAAGTTTTAAAAAGACGATTTTTCCTAAGGGGCTAAAACTTTTAGTAGTTTTTCCTTCATCCTTCGCGGAAATTTTAATATGTCAGTTGTGTGTCCATCATTTTTGACGTTGCAATGGCAACCGCAAATTTCATGTGGATTTGGCAAAAAGTTAACATTTTTGATATAATCCTGTACGTATATTTTCCAGTTTTCTTCGTCAAATTCCAGAAATTCGTTTGTGTCGATTTACACGGTCCAGAATCGTAAGATTCCGGTCAGTATAAAACATGGACTGTGGACTGTGAACTGCGGACTGCGGACTGCTGACTGCGGACTGCGGACTGGGTATAAAACGCGGACTGGGTATAAAACACGGACTGAGCATAACGGATTGGGCATAAAACAAGGACTCATGTATAAAACGCGGACTGCGGACTAAATTCGGCCTTCCGACTGCAGTCCGTGTTTTTTGCTGACCGATCGTAACTAATGTTACGTAATACACTTACAAACGAGAAATCCTCTGGTATGTACGTGCTGTGTGATCACTTCATTTGTTTTTGCCCCTACTGGAGGGAGGCCAATTTCACGTCTACCCAACGGCTCAGGCACAAAATGCTGTTCCGAGAATATTTACTTTACTAACCAATGCTCGAACCGATTCTTTAATCTACGATTTCTACTAGTCAATGTAAATTTATTTCGCTGTGCCCCAGCAGAACGAAAACCCAAGGGGTGGGGGTCAATCAATTTCGCGTTGTACCACGGTGGGGGTATGAGTTAGCTTGTACGTCCGAGGGTTAACTCAGTCACTGTAGCTATATCATGGTAGCAGTGTTCCCTCAATCATTGATAGCCAGCAGGTCATCCGTAATCGAATGCGTGCATTGTGAGTTCTTCACTGTGTCGTAAACGTACATATTTGATTGTGAGTCTGTAGTAAGTGCCACGTCATAAAAACAGCGCCATACTTTTCCAACTTGGTTATGTTTGCTATCAAACAATGCCCTTAAAGTTGTCCCGCAACCAGAATTTGGATTACTGCCGTATCGGTCTTGACAGTAGTCGTCTCTCTTAGCTTGAACTGTGGACACTGAAAAAAAGAATAGGACTAAGATGCACGTTGTTGTGTTTTACACAACGCTATATACATCAAGACAATTGCGGTAAAATAGATGAAAAAGTAATTTTGCCTGCTTATCCTTATCTCTATTTTACTGTATTTCCTTTAATTGTCATTTTGTAATTCTTATGGTTTCCACATCACGTGGTCAGCTCAGGCTACTTCCGCTCTTTACATATCCTATCCTATTCTATATCTCTTTATGCCATAAGGCACATAAGGCTTTGACATTCTCTTTCCAACCACTACGGTTTGCTGCGAGGTTTCTGACATTCGCCCATGACTGCCACCCAGCTGTTTTTCTTTCATCTTCAACCATTCTCCTCCATGTTGTTTTGGGTCGACCAGACCTTCTTTCCCCTTCTGGCCTCCATTCCAGAGCTGTGACGCAATGTTCCTCTTTGTCTTTCCTCATTATATGTCCAATCCAATTTCATCTTCTACGTCTGATTTCATCACTCGTTCTGTTCACTCCTGTGTTCTCCTGAATTTGTTGGTGGGAGATGGTCTGAGGCCACCTTATTCNTCGCAGATGACTATCCCAAGGAAATAGATGAAATGAGGAAGGCGCTACTACCAGTGCTAAGAAAGGCCAAGAGGGAAAAGGCTTCAGCCTCGTTCAACGGTCAAATTTACCGTGGACCTGAAACTGAGAAGTTTCCTTTTTATGCAAAAGTTTTGTCTTCGTAAAATCGCTATCTGATCTTATTTAAATCACAAGACAGCTTCGGGAATCCATCTTGCACGGTAAGCTGTCACATTTTCAAGGGAATTGTTTACATCTAGGTCATATGCATACTAACCCTTGCCTCCTTTGCTACTTGGTAGTAAAGTCGTCAAAAGTGCCAGATTATTGCTTTGCCCTAGAATTTCCTAAATTTTCGCGGCTTTAACTGTACAAATTCGATAAATTTATGCTGGCATCTTTTCATTTATTTGTGTTTCCTATCCTATCCTATATCTCTTTATGCCATAAGGCACATAAGGCTTTGACATTCTCTTTCCAACCACTACGGTTTGCTGCGAGGTTTCTGACATTCGCTCATGACTGCCACCCAGCTGTTTTCCTTTCATCTTCAACCATTCTCCTCCATGTTGTTTTGGGTCGACCAGGCCTTCTTTTCCTTTCTGGCCTCCATTCCAGAGCTGTGACGCAATGTTCCTCTTTGTCTTTCCTCATTATATGTCCAATCCAATTCCATCTTCTACGTCTGATTTCATCACTCGTTCTGTTCACTCCTGTGTTCTCCTGAACTTGTTGGTGGGAGATGGTCTGAGGCCACCTTATTCTTAAAATCCTCTTCATGCACTTGTATTGGAAACCGTCCAGCTTCTTTGCTTCTGTTTTCTTAAGTTTCCAAGCTTCACAGCCATACATCAAGTTCTTATTACCTTTACAAAATGATAACGTGAATTGATGAAATTTTTTGTTTGATTGTTTTATCTTAAAAAGCTCTATACCGTACAAGACTGAAGACTACAGATAATGATGACCAAGAGATCGTTTCTCCTTTTCGTGCTGCTTGCGATTCTTGCAAGGCGAACTTCAGGACATGCAGAAAGAGGTGAATCACTTTTTTCCACGTGCTATGTCTCCAAATTTCCTAATTTCCCCCCTCTCTAACTCTGTCGCATCTGGACAATATGTTCCGGCGTAGCGTAAGCCATTTAATAAACGGCGAGAACAGCACTACTTATTCAAAAGCGACTCTAAAGTTTTCTTAAAAATATTGCAATGATGTTGAAGTATTCAGTGTATCTGTCGGTTTAACTGAAAACTATCTCTTGATGAATATGTAAAACAAATTCAAAATACACAGTTTGTTCATTTTATGTTGTGATTTTAGAGCACGGAAAAGACAAAAATGTAGTAAGAGCCATTTTGCTGCTCATTAAAGTTGAGTTTGCTCAGTGGTATTCTTATTGCCGTTTCCCTGAGGGTGCGTTCCTTCGGGATGATCCTGGTCAGGATCAATGATCTAAGTTCACTCGGATTACAATAAAATCATCCACGACCAGAGTGGATTCAACGATTCCATTGATGTACCATGATCCGGCATATAAATGCCTGTCGTTCTTTATGAAAAGTTTATAGTACTGTTGATGAGTCATTGGCATCCTCCGTTGAATCGGAAGAAACTCGGAAGAAACTTAAATTTAACTTTCACTGAAACTCTTTTTAACAGCCCGTCAAAAGAGGATGGTTAACGTCATGGACGCTTTTTCCCAAGATATCAATAAATGTCTGTTCCAGTACTGGACTCCTTATGTTGGAAAAAAGAACTCACATCCCGGCCTAAGTACATCGGTAAAATGTAAAGGAAGAGGACTTTGTTATGGTCTCGATCAAAATGAGATTGCACAATATGGTGCTTGCTACGATCAAGTGACTCTTATTCCAGTGTTCACGGGACACATTGTCCATCCTAACATTGGAGAAGGAGGTGGAGGAAGAGAAGACACCTTTAGAGCAGACACTACAATTGGTAATAGTAACCAATCAACGAATCAATCAATCGACAGCTTGATCAATCAGTCAGGGTTTTTTTGTTTGTTTATTTGTTTGCTTTTCATTCCATCGACGTCCATTCAAAGATGTTTGCTATCTTATTTTTCAAGATCCAGTAGCAACTGACGATGACTATAAGGCAAGCCAGATGAATCTGTATGCAAACTACGACATGGCAAAGCAACAATTCTTTGCCCGTGGACACTTAACTCCGAACGCAGATTTTTTTACTTAACAGGGGAGAGCTTTCACTATGATCACTGAACAACAAACATTGCCCCACAGTGGCAACTTTTTAATGCTGGTAACTGGAATAACCTGGAAAAAGCTATACGACGATACGCGACCAATACCGATCATGCCCTGTATGTGTTCACTGGTACAGGTATGTACTTACGATAGGGTCCAGAGAATTCATGCACTCTACAATTGTGTTTTGAAACAATATTATGGGGAATAGTATATGTGAATGAAAGATTTGTACCGTCTATGTAAATTATGAACTAATGGATTAGTTCTTAATCTAATTCATAATTTAGTAGTTCATAATTAACTGTCCAAATAATTGTTCAGTTAGATGGTTAGTTAGGTATTGTTTTACTTTTTAATTTTTTTCCATTTTTGTTTGTTTGTTTGTTTTGGCAAGGTGGTACAGCAAAACCCTTTGACGGTGACATCAAGTTAAATGAACGGGTCCTGGTACCGAAATGGTACTGGAAGGCCGTATGCGATCCAGTTGAGAAGCAGTCTGTTTTCTTTCTGGGCGAAAACACCAACGTTGACGCAGGCAACCAAAAACAAGTTCGAGGGTGCTTTGGTATAAAACAACAAAAGAGATTTGGAGTAATAAAATGCTTTAGTCTGACGGACGCAAAAAAGGAGTACGAGATGTTTCAAATTCCGGAGTTTCACGAGAAGAACTGTGTTCCTTCTAAGATAGGGGAAAACTTTTATTCTGTTCTGAAAGAAAAGCTGGTTTGAAAAACTGTTCGCAAAGAAACAAATTTGGTAAGAATTGTATACCATCGGTGAAGGTTAACTTGACCAATACAATCATAAACTGTGTCTTGTTACTTACATGAGCATCGCAAATGAATATTATCATTGCCTCCTCGATAATCGAAGTGTGGGATCACGGAACGAGCGTGACAAACGATGTTTTTACGATAACTGCAGAAATTCCTACGCGCTCATTGGCTAATTTTCATTATTATCAATATACGCGGCCAAATTGAAAACCGCCCTCTTGAAAACACGCGCTTTGCGGGCCGCATGTAGTAGTAGTAGTAGTAGAGAGTTTTAGCAATGACGACGGCGACGCCGAGGACGACGCCTTGTAAAAAATGGATTTATATTTTACCCTCGAGTGTCGCAACTGTGTAGATCTGTTCAGTACGCCTATTGGTCTAAAAACCTGCTCAGGCTAGATATGTAAGGACAGCGTTCAATTCCAAAGAAAGACACGAAAAATTAGCCATTGCGGTACAAGTTCTCCAAAATACGTACGACTTGTCATTTCACGCCGTTGTTTTGCAGAGCACGGCAAAGAAATGTACAAAGATTCAAAACGCACGTGCAGAATCATTGTTCTGCTCATTAAACCTTTTGTTTGGTGACGTTCCCGTTGCCGTCGCCGTGGTGGTTTGCTAAAACTCCCTAGTAACAGAAATGGGAGAGACGGATAACTCGTCTCCGTAAACATGAGACGGAGAGGTCGTCTTCGTATAAACCGGTGCTGTACCTGACCATCCTATTTTCCTAACGTCACAACGTCATATCACTAGAATCTCAGACCCACCTGCAAGCGAGCATGATGAAGGAGTAATGATCTGTATATTTCCAAAAATGTTATTCTTGAAGTTGTACCAAGAGACTGCATTTCCACTCCATAATCCACATCCTCTTGACATCTCTTTTATTGTGTTCGAGGTAATTATAAAATCCCAAACATTCACTCGGCTCAGTCTACCTTCAAACGCCTGGCTAGATTCAAAGCTGCCTCCTTTAAACAGAACCACGCATAAAAGCAGGTTAAGGTTAATATTACAGGTTAATATTACTCTTCTGCATTATGATTTATTCATTTAACTTGTTTATTTCGAATACTTTTGTTATTCACATTTTACTTCCTTTATTGCATTGTTTCTATTAATTGATGTGTCTTGTCTTTTATTTTTGAACGTGTCAGTGACCAACACGATAGCATATGCTTCTTTGGTCACTGAGCACATTTTGTTTTGGTTTTATTATTATTATATTTTCCTTATTTTTAATTAATGAATTTGTTGTAATAGTGTGCGATAGTGAAATATGTCTGTAAATAGTGTCAATTAATAAATCTGAAATCTTAAGAAGCCCACTTTACTGACCAAAGTATCCATTTCATACGCAAGCTACATGAATACATGGACACTGCACTGCAAACACTTTTTTTTTATACCTAAAGATAATGAATGTCAGTGGACTATTTATACATTTCATTTAATTTACCCTTAAACAGCTGGAACAGATTTTTAGAGATCTTGATATAGATACTTCTAAGTTTTCTTTTTGTTTCCTTCCTGTTTCATGGAGTAGTCTCAGAAGCACGGAAAGTACAACAAAGGATTAACGTGAACTGAACTGAAAAAAGGCGCAATTTCAGGCCATTTAGCTCCTTCTTAAACAACCCAATGAGGGAAAAGTGAAGCCACCTTGGAAAAGACTCTCCTTCACCCTTCATCTGTTGCAGGCGTCGCCACGCAATTAATAACCTGTACATGTCAATATCAAATGGCAAACGCGTCCAAGATGAAAAACATTATTCTGAATGGCTACCTAAGCGGTCCTAATTTTGCAATTTTTGAGCGAATTGTTTTTAAGCCTACGAACAGGCTCCCGGCGAGGAGGGAGACGAGCGTGAAACTGAAGAATTCGGAGAGCTAAGCGATCGGGGCGATGCTTGCTGGGAGCTCGCTGGGAGCCTGCTTACAAGCTGATGACGCCGATTGCTTTTCAAAGCATTGTACAAAATTAAAGACCACAGTTTCTGTTTTTAAATTAATTACAATTTTACCCCCATGATAGGCAAAAAAGTGAAATTTAATCTTTTCTTTCAAAGAACGACCTGAAAAACGTATGTGAATTCTTAACTTTTAAGTGCGCACTTCTATCGAAAATGGCTGCTCACAAGGACGTATTAATTTGTCAGCAGAATTTCAACAAAAAAAAAGCCATTGTAATCAATACGTTGTTTAACTAGTAACTTGCTCGGTCTGTATCAAGAATTTATGGTCTCGTCCTTGTTTGCAAGTTTTTGAAACTTCCGACAGAAAAAAATAGGGATTCCACCAATATTTCTCCAATACGGACCTGACGTTATATTAATAAAAGATAAACTCATCAGCTACTGTACCGAATGAGTCTTGCTCCTGGCCAAGAATAAACTTTCCATTTGCAGCGATTGTCTGACCGGTTTGGTAATCATCTACACACATTAGCTTTGTCCCATCTATATACATACAAGCTCTTCCATCGGTATTTCCCCATGTCAAACAGAGGTGATGCCATCCATTGTCATGGAAACCACTTGACAAAGTGTAATCTCTAATTATAAATGATGAAGTAAGGTAAATCATCAACAGATTCCGTTATAACTACTTTTATCCCTTGATTACTTTGAGCTTGGTTCCGACTTCCCGGTGAGCTCCACACCTCACCCCCTCCCCCCCGGGGGGGATGCTCGTCGTCTCGCTTAGCGTTGAAATCAAGGTTTTGGGTCTCACTTAGGTAGTTTAGGAGGAAAGGCCACTATTTTTAGCTATCAACGTATCTTTTAGGCACACTCGAAGAAATACCAGAACGCTATCATTTCCGTTTGTAGTGCAAGTGATAACTTTTTACAGATTGTGCACATTTTCTCTTTTACTCGAAAAAATCGCAAAGAGGAACGCGTCACATTAAAGAGTTCGTGAGCGCGTGGACGTCGGAAGACGAGCGAAACTCGCGGCGCGCTTGTCACACTCGAATTCACGCTCACACACTCATCTACTAAAGACTGCTAGTAGTCTATACCTTTGTGCGTGTCAAATAAAGCTCAAGTCAGGCCCAGATTGTTCTCCCTTTGAAATTTAGTTCAATTTAATTTTTCTGACGAACATCTCCAAATTTTTCATCTGGGAGTTTCTCACGCGGAGAACTACCACGAGGATCGCCATCGGAATAGAGTGGCTTTCACTTATAAATAATGAGTATCGTAATGTAATTGCTTTGATCTAATCATGTCTAATATGCTACACTATGGGCGTAAAACTCGTGGCACTTGTTCATCCAGTCCCGCCAAAAGTATGAACAAACCGTTCATTTTGATCCAGTTTTGTTTGGTTCACTGGAATGTCGGTGTTTTTATTATTATTATTATTATTATTATTATTATTAT